TTTTTCTTTAGTATGTTATCTTTTAAAAGATAAGTTACGCAAGAAATTAGGCCAAAATGTAATTCAAGAGGATTTTTACTTATGAAGGACTTAAGAGATCCACCAGCTAAAAGACTAGCTATTGTCCAAAATTTGCTAAATAGATTTTCAGTCCCTAGAAATTTATCTAAGATTTTCTACATAGAATTTTAGTCTTATAATTAACACTATAGTTTTCATTTTTTAAAAATTTTTTACATCAAATATCAAAGATATAAATCATAAAGTATTAAAATTTTAATATACTACTATGTCACTGAATAAGAATAGATAATCACTCAAAGATGGTATAATATTAGGACTAGAATGGCTATTACCAAAGACAAGAATATTAGTGACTATTGAAACAAGTTTAAGGACAAAAAAATGTTGGACAAGAGTGATGGAGGCTTCACTCTTGGATCCATATATACTATTTAAGTAGAAGCTACATAGCAATATTCTATATGATCTTTAACATGTGTCTAACTTGTATGACAAGTTTTTTATATGAGTTATTTTTTTATATATTAAAATAGCATTATTATATTATAATAATAAAATTTTAATAAATATTATAGAATATCTTATAGAATATCTTTAAATTATTAATTTAATTTTAAAAAAATAAATCAATAAATACATTAAAATGATTATCAGTTTTATTTTTAAAATCATGCTATTTAGATTTAGAAATTTTCTTATTTTTACGATCTTTTATCCATTTAAAAAAATTATTATGATGTATAAGATATAAAATTTTAGAATGAAATATATGTTTTTAAACTTAATAACTTATTATAAATTTTTTTTTAAAATAATTTAATAAAATGGTATAGAAAAAAATAGTGTAAAAAAAAAGTAATAAAGTCTAGCATGCATAGATTTCTTTTAAACATATAGCTATTTTAAAATTTAAAATTATTAAATATTCTATGATTTATCAAAAAACTATGTAAAATTTTTATTTTTTTTATTTTATTTATATAATATTTTATTTCATAAACATAAAATATAAAACTATGATATAATTTAATTATTATGATTATTTAATATTTGATGTATCTTAAAATTAATTATATAAATATATATATATATAAATATATATATATATAAATATATATATATATATATATATATATATATATTCATAATCAAACTAAAGTGTATTTTTTATATAAATATAATTTAACTTAATTCTAAAAAATATAAACTAATTAACTAATTTATTTATTGATTAAATTTTTATGAACTTGTAAAAAAACCTTAACAAGAAATTTTTATTTTAAAGTGTATAAATATTACATAAAAACAATAATTATTGATACATATGATTAAATATTTATATAAAAAATACAAAATATGATATTATAATTATTTAAAATATATATATATATATATATATATATATATATATATATATATAATTTTTATCATTATACTATATAATTTATGAATATATATATATATATATATATATATACATATAGAATTAGTATATAAAAACTCATTCATACTAATAATCACTAATAGATCTTTTGATATATTTTTTTATTATTCAAATAACTTATAAATAAATATGTTTTTAGTGATATATAAAATTTAGAGTATAAAAATTATAAGAGATATAACATGACACAAGCTTAAAAGAAGAAAAATATGTCAATTGTATTATTCTTTCATTTATTAATTGAATTGTATTTTTTTGTGAAATTTTTAGATGAGAATGTATGTTTGTAAATTATGAAGAAGAAATTAATATGTTTGTGAAATAGAGAATTAAGTTGTAAAAACTATTAATACCAAAATTACATTAGCAAAACTGGACCATTTTAAAAAGCTTTGTTCTATCTCTTAAACTAAATTTATGTATTTATTTTTTAATGCAAAGTAATTAAAGAGCTTTATTGAGAAGAAACTATTTGCAAGTCTCTTAATTTTTTTTTTTTTTTATGACCCTTTTTAATCTTTGATTTTAAAAAAATAATATTCTTAATTTTTTTATGATATATATATATATATATATATATATATATATATTAAAAAAATAAAGAAAGAAAAAGAAAGAGATAAAAAAAAATATTGAAATAATCCATTCATTTACTAAATTGACGTACCTTATTATATCCAGCATTAAAAAAATGAATCATTTCCAAAAACAATCATTAGAATTTCAATCCCCTCATTCTCAACTCTTGCTCTATCCATTCTCAATCTTTATCTTGACCCTTCTTGTTTTAAGCTCCTACTTTATATATTGTTAGTCTTCATCAAATCCCCCCTCCCCTCCGCTCTTCCTTCTCTATCTATCCCTAAGCAACCTCTCTAGCTCTAAACATCTCATGTACATTCGTTCACCTTATTATAAACCTTCAAAGCATAGAACATCTTTACCATGCAATCTACTTAAAATGATTCCATCTTCTCTATCAACATAGAAAATGATCTATCAAAAAACATCAAATCCAAAATAAAATCATTGAATTCGTTTTAAATAAAAAAATTGATCTACTTCTCTAAGCCAAAAGTCCTATCCATCAAAAAATCATGAAAAAACAATGCCGTGAATTTTTTTTAGACACATGTAGACCACACTCTACTCTTGATTTGCTTCTACAACATCCAACGATAAATGAAGGTGGTTCCAATGTCTATTTCTACATTTGAGAAGTTCAATCTACAAGCCTCATATTAATGCTTCAATTTATTTAGTCTTCATGCTTACAATGTGCAAATTGAAGCTCAATCTCCTTTCCATCTCAAAAATCTCCATCTACATTTCATTGTCTAATATTTTATACTAAAATTATACATATTTCAAATTTGAAATTACAAATATAAGTTTTAAATTCTAAATTTTTAGATAGAATCATCTTGTCTAAGCTTAACCATGCCTTTGAGATCAAAATTTACACATCTTAATTATTGCATTATTTTTTATAGTATAAATTTGTGGCGAGATTTTAAACAAATTAATATAAGTATTTTTGAAAGGCTTATGATACATAATAATTGTGCAATAGTACAACCAATTAAGAATCCAATACTTAATTTACAAATGTTAAGATTAACTAAAACATAGCCGAGTCAGTAAAAAAGAATATGGTCAATGCAATGGTATTTGGATACAATTTTTGATTTAGTATAAAAGTAATGTTAAAACCAATGTTATAATTTAAAGTCCAAAATGAGGCAATAATTTTGAATTATCGGATATTGTATGACTTATGGATGTAATATGAACTATATATTTCAATTAAAAGCTTCATCTTGTATTCTATGTTCTTAAACTTATATTCAATATTTGAATTACTACCTACAATAAAGATTTTTGTATTAAAGAAGACAATTGCTATAGAGTGATATAATCAAGGTTTAGTAGTAGTTCTCATAATAAAAAAAATATTGAATTAAAGATTGTAGAATTGTCATGGATATATATATATATATATATATATATATATATATATATTCCAATAATTATATAGATAATATAATTAGATAAAAGTAAGTAAAAGTATATTAATTTAATAATATCTTGGAGAGAAGCTTCTTAAAAGCTTTACAGATGTGATTTCATCTTTATATGTGTCTATAGGTGATTTATAGGTTGAATACTTGGCCAATAAGTTAGCCATGTATCACACATGTTGATAGCTCCTACTTAGATAGTATATATGGAGTTAAGAGTGAAGCCTTTTTAATTGTTAGTCTTATTTTAAGACTTTTTAATCTTCTTGTCTTTAGAATAGCTATTCTAGTTTAATATTATACTATCTTTGAGTGATTTTTTAGTGTCTTTGAGTGCCATAAGAGTATATTGATTTTTTAGTTTTTTGAGATTCATATCCTTGACAAGAACACATGTACAAGAATTAATTCTTTTACTAATTTTGAACTTGTAATTCTTTATTCAACACTATTAATAATGAAAATATCCTCATGAGGCATTATCAACATATCTTTGAGAGCTTTGTTAGAATATGTGATTGTTATTGGTGCATTTTTTAGTGAATAGATCAAGTTATATTTGTAATATGTATTAAAACTGCAACTCTGGAGGGAGTAGGGATGATCATAAGGAGCAAAGAAATCACGGAAGAAGAGAGGGGGGGGGGTCGGAATAAAGATTGGGAATAGAAGGAGTGGAAACTAGGAACAAAGGGAGTTAGGATGAAGATTGGAAATGGGAAGAGCAAGTATTAAAAATGAAGAGAATTGAAATTTTAATGATGGTTTTTGAGGATGATTTATTTTTCTTATAATGATTACAATAAGATGGGTTAATTTAGGAAACGGATGGGTCATTTGAACATTTTCCTATATATATATATATATATATATATATATATATCTATATATTTATCTACACACACATAAATTCTTTGAAAATATAATAGTAATTATTTAATATGGGTTCTCAAATATTTGGAAACCATACATGATTATACACAAGTTGATTGTTATGGCTTTTTCTGTTTTCTTTTCATTTACTTTTTTTTGAAGAGGGAAATAAAATTTAAGATTAGTGAGAATTGGGAAAGGTTGAAATAAGTAAAACTAGAAAGTAAGGAGAAGCGAATGGGAAGCTAAGCATAGGGGAGGGAAGTAGAGGAGATGGAGGAGAGGAGAGTAGAAGAGATGGAGGGGAGGAGAGTAGAGGAGACGGAGGGGAGGAGAGGAGACGGAGGGGAGGGGAGGGGAGGGGAGGAGAGGAGACGGAGGGGAGGGGAGGAGAGGGGAGGGGAGAAGAGGAGATGGAGGGGAGGGGAGTAGAGGAGACAGAGGGGAGGGGAGGAGAAAGGACAGGAGAAGGATTGAGACGAAGCACATCACCTATCAGCAGAGACCACTTGGCCACAGGTTCCTCCTCGTCCCTGGAATATCTGCACACCTCATGCATACTGCCACGTGCCAAGACATTAGCAGGGCAGAGGGGATGGGGCCAGGGGGACACCTCTTCCAAGGCAGTAGTAATGCCCATCCCTGGACTGCAGTTAGTCATTCACTCATTCTGTAAAAAGTTTTGGCCTCCTCCCTCCACTCCTCCCCTGCCTTTCTCCCATGCCTCCCCTCCTCTCCTCTCCTCCTTCCTGCCTACGCATGCACGTCTGCGCGTGTTTCCACCGCTTCCCTCCACCTGGGTGGGCCTACGGGCTTCGGGTTTCCGTCTGATTGATTCATGGTTCCTGGTCCTACTCTTCTTCTATGCACAAGTTTGTTGCAACCTTTGACATCTCTCACATTGTGTATGCTCGCATTCCGAGATGTTCAGGAGCCGGATCTGATTTCCTGTTTGGGATTCATTCTTCTGTTTGCTGTCCTTCGAAGTTTATCAGCACGTCATTGCTTTGTTTGTTTTGTTCTCCACATATTCCGATGGTGGCGATCAGGCCTTGCTAACCTTGTGAAATTGCTCTTTCAGCAAGAACTGGCGTACAGGACATCGGTATGTCCAGTTGTTTGACGAGTTTGGCCCAATAATGTTAATGCTTCAATCGAATCTTCATTTCATGGCAACGGTGTGGGCGCAACTTCCCTGTCAAAAAACTTAGACATACCGACAGTTGATGCTTGAATTTAACACTGACTACTTAATAGTGCTCTGAGGAAATTCCAGCCTGAGAGATGTATTGATAAATTGTTGCTTTGTGCTTTTCCTGTTAAGCAAGAGCTAATGTAGCCTGATCGGCAGCTGAGGATATGATTCTCTTATTGACTCGTTGTCGTAGTGAGCTCTCAAATATGGTGCTCGCTGAAATGTCTAACATTGAAGGTAATGATCAACTTAGATAAACATTTTTGATCCAGTTGAAGTATTAATTAGGTGTTGCTCGGCCTATGCATGGAACATTCTAATTTTACAAATGTTCAGAATGTTGTTTTTTGCCCCACACAATTATTTGCTAATATCGAGTCACAGCTCTGAAACAACAGAAAATGGACACCATCATTACAGTCGTTACTGTTCCGACTCTTTACTACAGCCAGTGAGTGCACACAAGTTAAACTTGCAAAACAAGTCTGGGGAAGATTTGGAAGGTCTGACCAATATCTAAGCTTCCCAAAACTATCGCCTAATGTAAACATATCGTATATACTATGTATTTTTTACGAACATTAAACACCGCACTTTCACACATTAGTATGTATTACCAGGAAACTATCGCCATAATTTTTAAGTGACTGTAAACAATGATTGTCAAACCATGCACTAAGACATGAAGGAATCAATCAGCGGTCGTAGTCCATCACACAGCGCAAGCATTCTCCCTTCTCCAGCAACTCCACGGCCTTGTTTATTTCCGAGAATGGCATCTTGTGCGTAATGTAGTGGTCCAAATTGATTACCTACGCAAAACAATATCCTGCTAGTTAGAAGATGACGTCCAACGAGCTGAGTAAGTAAAATGAGAAATAGGATTTACACATACGCAGCCCAACTGAACGTTAGCTCAAATAATATCCTGAAATGAGAACCCACATAAGAAATACAAGAAACATAATTTTCTCCTTTAAACACTCAGAGGATTTTTACAGTACGTAAAGAATGACATCTAAAATATAGCCACAGAAAATAGGTTCCACATTTAGAAGATGTGAGCAATTGTACCCCTTCTACACATTTGTCAACCAAGTCTGGCAACTGAGACCTTCCTTTGAAACCCCCGAATAACCCTGAAGTCCACGACTTCCCCCACAAAAGCTTGCTGGGATGGAATGAAATTTCCTTCGAGGAATCCATCAAACCAAGGATTACTGCTACCCCCCCAGCCTGCAATCGATGTAATATTCAGTCGCAGGATGAAGAAATTAATGGGAGAAAGCATGTCATTAATGGAGTAAAAATGAACTACTCGTTTATCGAGAAATTATGATCTATTTATTGCATCAATCTTATTCATAGCTGCAAATTTATACTTAGTTTCCAGTTGAATAGAGTCAAGGATACATACTGGATTGGCGCATTCCATTGCAGAGTAGATGACCCCAGGGTTGCCAGTACAATCGAAGGAAAAATCAACCCCTTGATCATCTGTCATTTCTTTAATGATTGCTTCAATGGGCTTGGCAAGGCCGCATGTATTCAGGGTATCTGTGAGTCCCCACTCAAGACCTACCACCCTCTCCGGCAAGGACCATAAAATACAAAATAAGAAATGGTATCGTAATTGCACAAGTCTTATCAGTTTTTGGTCCCAGCTAGCACACCTTGTTGATGCAAATGCTAACATTATCGAATTTGTACCACTTTCCTTTGAGGTAACAGTGTGAGTGCGGTTTCTCCTCTTAACGGTTTCTGCGAAGGATGAGGGCAAATTACACAATTAGAGCTTACGCTAGTTCTCTAAATGAGTAATACCTTGTTTGAGTTTGTGGTCATCTCTATCAATCCCAATGATCATGGATGCCCCAGCTACCTTCGCTCCTTCCACTACCTGAAATACATACAAGAAGCACCAAGATAAGAACAAAGTTAACCACTTATGCAATATGGTAAAAAAAGATATTTAAGGTTATGCACGCTGCAATATTCTAAAGAAGGGTCATGCTCGTGAGATATGCGTCCTTGCCGAAAGTCCAATGGTGCCCAAACCGAACACCGCCACTGAGGAACCAGGGGTTACTTTCGCGATGTTCCACGCAGATCCGATTCCTGCACAACGCAGCGAAGTAGATTTGAAATCTTTGATGAGCGTAAGATGCAGCTAATAGCCCAAATGAAGAGTGACAGAGTATTGAAGTGATGAGGATATCAAATAGTTTGTAGTTTCCCTTTCTTTTTTAGCTGAGTATTACACCATAATTATGTGTGAAAAGAGTGCATGCCAGTGTATATATTTTGTAGATTAAAAGCAGACATGTTAAGTATAGAGGCCTCTTACCTGTGGGTACACCGCAACCTAAAAGGCAAACTTTAGAGAGATCGGCCTCGGGATTAATTTTAGCTACACAAGCTTCGTCGCAGACAGTGTACTGACTGAATGTTGAAGTACCGAAGAAATGGTTAATTGGCATTCCATTGGAAGCTTTAGAGAAACGCGTTGTTTTCTTGTCCGATGGCATAAAACCATTGCTCCAGTTGTACACAAGGGTGTCACAGATATTAGACTTTCCGCGCAGGCACTTCGGGCATTTCTTGCATTCAGCCATCCATGCAGGGATCACCTTATCTCCCCGCTTCAGATTCTTGATGTCACTGCCCACGCTCTCCACTACTCTGTGCATATGGAATTAGCCAAGCATCAGTAAATTTCTAGCCGATCCAAGTGTAGCTCTTCTAAAAGTTGCCTTGCATAATCATCACTGCAGATTCACTGAAATTGCCTGAGGTTACCCTGCTCCTTCGTGACCGAAAATGCGAGGAAATATTTTGTCTGCATCCTGAAGTGCGGAAAAGACATTTGTGAGCAACAAGCATGGTAGGAATATAGAACACACTCTTTTCAGCTATGACGCAAAGCAGTCCGATTATTAATCCTTTCATGGTTCGTCTCGAGTTAAAGACAAGAAAGACAACCACTCCAGTCTCATGTCGGTCATTTGGTCGATTTTACGTCAATTCCAGAACAAACCAATAGACATTAAATTACTAATCTGAAGTTCATTATTTTAAAGTTTTGTTCCACGTGTTTGGCATCGCAATCATTTCGAGACCGGTACATCGACACTTTAGGAGTTTCTACGAATTAATAACGTCACACAATAAGTACTTATGAATTTATCAAAATCAATTTCAGTCTGATTGAATGCATGCTTAAGATGGGCATTACCTTCCCTTTCAAGTAGTATAGATCAGTTTGACAAATTGCACCGTTGGTGATCTTGATGCGTACTTCCGAAGGTTCGGGTGGAGCAACGTGGATTTCCTCTAAAGTCAGCGGCTTGTTGGGCTCGTATGCCACTGCCGCTGAACATTAAATTGCAAGAAGCATTCACGAACCAACAACACAATTAGCCCATCGACGTCGCGATAGAGAGCTATGCACAGAAGACTGAACGAGCATGATCCATGCAACGGCACCAAAACAAGAGCTGAAATTACATCGTCTCATTCTGAACAAAAAAGAAAAGGAGCAGCGGCGCTGAACGGAATGGGTAAAGCACAGGGAGGCGATGGATAGTGCAATGGTACCTTTGCAAGTGATGACATCGTCTGCAGTGGAGGCCAGGGAGGCAGAAAGGTTTGCCATGTCGAACGTCTTAAAAAACAAAGAATGGCGCAGAGAAGTGTCGATATAGACACGAAGGAAGGAAGGTGGTAATGATGGTGGAGTAGCTCTGCTGTGTTACGCTGGGCTTGCCTTCGCGTCTTCAGTGGAAGTGGCACCTTCCTCACGTTCTCCACTGCATGTCATTTCGCTTCGCCTCACTTCACTTCACTCCTTGAGAACTGGATGCATCGTGGAAAGTACCCAGCTTCCTCTATTCGCCAAGACAAAGGCACAGCCATCGGGAATGTGCCGAAAAGGAAGGCAGGGCCTGCGCACAGTAAGTCACTCTGGTCCCCACCCTCCAGAACTCTCTGGTGCCTCTGCTACTCTGAGCTAATCATTCAGGTAGAAAAGGGTACGGAAAATATCCCATCCCTCCCTCCCTTTCAACGTCTAGTCATGCAAATGTGGAAGGAAGCCAGGGCCTACCCATAGTAAGTCTCACTTGCCACCACCCTCTGGACCTCTCTGGTGCCCCAGCTGCTCTGAGCTAAGAAGCAAGCAGGCAGAAAAGGGTTCGTATAATATCCCATCCCTCTTTCCCAACATCCAGTCATGCAAATGTGATCTCGTCTCGATGATGTGATATTTACTCCTTTTTGTATCTTCATTTCCTCGTAAGAGTGTTCACAACTCTATAATGCCAAGTAGGGTTTTAGAGCAATAATTGAGATTTGTAGCATTTTGCACCTCAAAACACGTGTATTACACTGATACGGGTTAGTTAATTTTAAAAATAAAACCAAGAACACAAAACCTCATTTAGCAGTATGAGTGAGAAGTTATGCATCATCCAATGTAGAAGCAATCAGCAACAATGACATAACTTTTGGCTATCTCAGTTCTTTAGTAGAAATTATAAAGTTAATGTACAATTGATATTTAATCTAAGGCATACAACTTACAAATTTAACTTATCAATCTCATTTACTAACTTTTTATAGATAAAACATTAAATATTATTCTTATTGGGATTTAAGATGAATAAAATAAATCCCTTAGTTGGTAATTTATTCTAATTCACAACAATCCATCATCCTATGGTTTCAATTATATATAACTATTGTATCAAGTTTTTATTAAATAGTTCTTTAAGCACTCTCAATTAACACTATTAATTACTAAAACCTTCACAACCACCATATATGCAATGTTAATTAATTCAAAAGTTCTCACACTTGAATAATTCTTTTTTTTATTGCATAATTTTGTAGATGAATGAGGGCACTATTTACTCTCAATCTTATAACTTTACTCATCCAAAGTCCTCTGTTGTTTCCCAACTTTTGACATCTTTAGCCAATAGTGTTTGTTGTCTTTTAACTCACATTGTCTACCAACTTAGGTCTCTCATCTTCCAATATCTTTTCTTACATTCATTCTTCTATACTTGTATTTTTTATTTCATGTATTATTATTAACATATCATAAGGCTAGATTCTTGATTTTTTGTATCTGCTTATAAGCATGTTTCTTATTATTGATTTTGTATCTTAATTTCTTAGTATCTCTTAAAAAGATGTGCCACTTTTGCTTGTTGTATGCTTTGATTCTTATTTAGTATCAAGACTTTGTTTATTCTTTGTTTGTTGAAGTTTTTTGTGTTGATGGTGTTATTAATGTTGATGAGATGGTGTCAAGGGCCAATGAGACTTCTACTTTGATTTCAACAACAAAAAATAGATTTTTAGATAAAAAAATAATTGCTCCAAAAATTCTATATTGTTTTATGAGGTTGTAAACTTAAAATCTATACTAACTAGAAAGATTGTAGGAACTAAGTTGAGAAATATAATAGAGAAAAATAAAATAGTTTTCAAACTCTTGAGGAGGCAAAAAATAATTATAAGCTAGTTTACATAAAGTTAACTTCCTCAAGTATTTTGAGCCTAAGCTTTGATCTACAACTTTTAAATTTGATTTTTTTCAAGGCTTTTATTAAAATATCTGCTAATTGTTATGTGATTTTAATAAATAATATTTTTATTATTTTTTCCTTGTCTTTTTTTCTTGTGAAATAATAGTCTATTTTGAAGTATTTAATCTTATTTTAAAAAATTAGATTCTTTACTATTTTTTATTTTATTTTATTTTTTTCTTATCCTACCTTGTTTACTAATTATTTCAACTACACTGCTTCACATGTATTTTTTTGCTAAAGCTTGATATTCAAAATTACATGATGATCTTAATTTTGAGTTTCATTTTTTAAAACTCTACAATATAGATGTAGAGCTACAAGTGAAAATATATACACTAGTCAAAATTTGATTGTTAAACTCTCCTCCATAGTTTGCATCAAAACATCTTTGAAGTTGATTCTTGTCCCCCTTTAGAAACCAAAGACTAAAGGATGGATTTTTGCTTAAATTGTCAATAATTTTTAGGTGACATCTTGGTGAAGTTGTTATAGATTATATATGTATTGGCTAGTAAGTGAAGTCATGGAGCTAATATTTGGTCTTATTTTTATAAGATAACAAAGTTTGCCAATAAGTGCTTGATATTCTATTGTATTTTTTGATGGAATTTTATTTTATTTGTAAAGTTTCAAATGTGGTAAAAATAAAACATCATTCAAGTAGTAAGCCAAGTTACTATACTTATGAAGAATAAAATGAATATAATTAGTTTGATGTAAAAATATACTACAAGATAGTTTGAATACTTGGATATCAAAACAATTCTGCATTAAGTTGAAATCCTTCATTTTAAATTTTTTGTGACGATTTTTTTTAAAAGAGGTAATATAGGCAAAGTTAGACGTGCTAAAAAGTAAGTCATCTATTTATAAGACAAGGATGGTAATAAGAGTTTTGTCTTTGAAGTTAGCATGGACTTTGATCATGCTTCAAAGACATAAATATGTATTAATGCAAGCATATTATACTTGAAAGCTTTGATAAAGATCACAAAGAGATCATAAAAAGTAGAAAATTAAGTATTCTTTGTTAGGAACGACACAACCTCGTAGTTGTAGCATATATATGGTGCTATTAAGATCACTATTTAAGAAGGTGGTGATAACATCAAGATTATAAATGAATCATCTTTAATAAATTATAATTAATGTAATAGAATGTATTGATTTTCAATAAATAGTGGAAGCAAAGATTTTTTGAAAGTCAACAACATGAATGTGTTCATTACTTCTACTTACAATTTTTTCTTTGAATATTGGTTTTATTGTTGGATGATTGCTTGAGCTAAGTTTATATTTAAAAAACCAAAAAGTTGTAATAGATTGTATACATGGTGCAAGAGGTCTTAATGTATAAGATTTTTTTTTTTTAATGGAACAAAGTATAGAAACCATGGCTATGATCCAATATTTATTTGAACATGCTTCTTAAAAGCTAAGTGGTTTACTTCCTTCTTCAATAAGACTAAAAACTTTTTAATAAAAATCAAGAAGTATTTAACATAGAGGAAGATTACGTGATTATGTGAAGCATCAAGGTAGAAATAGAATTAGTGTTGCTAGATATGAATTTTTTTGTTTTTGGTTATCAAAATTCTTTAAAAATTTGTCAATAATAGATGAAGGTGGCTTTTGATTAAAAACAAGTAACACCATTGGTGTTGATTTCTTTGATGGTTTAGATTTGAACATTTATGTAGTTAGTCTTGATATTCTTGTGAATTAATCAAGTATATATTTTGATAATATTAATAGAGTATTGTCTATAAATCATACATCTTTGGAAATTATTACTTGCTTTTAAGTTGGATCATAATATTTATATCCTTTGGTACAATTGTCAAGGCTTATATAAATATGTAGTAAGCTTTTGGATGCTAATTTAATCTTTTTTAGTATTATTTAATAAATATATAATATTATGCCAAAAATAGGCTTTTATTTTTAAAATAATTTTTATAGAATTTTATTAGAAGATGATTTTAAAATATGAGGATTGATAATATTGCATGCAACTTAAATTATTTTAGTCTAAAGATTATCAAGAAGATTGTTTTTAGTAAAAAAGTACCAAATTATATTTAATAATATATAATTCTTTCTTTTACCTATTCAATTATAATATAGATTATAAGATTGAGATAATTACTTCCAATTTTTTTTGGTTTGTATAATATAAGTTGAATTTTTTGGAAGTATATTCATCATTTTTGTTAGTTCTTAATATATATATCTTCTTATTTGTAATCTTTTTTTTTTCTTTATAAAAAATTTGAAACTTAGAGAATCCTTGATTTTTTATTGATTAAAATTGTACCCATATTTTCTTTGAGAAATTATCAATAAATTTTAAAAAATATTATGCTCTTTCAAAGGATCTTAGTCAAAAAGATTCTATTGTATTAAAATAAATTAATTAAAAGATATAAATTGTTTCAAAGAATTTTACCTTTAATATTTTAATTTGACTTTGTTTTTTTAAGATATACATTAAGTAATTGAGGTCTTCAACCAAAATATTTGATAACCTTTTCACTATAAAATTTATCATTTGACGTAGTCTTTGAGAGTAAAAATGCCTAAGATATTTGTACCAAAGTATGGCATAAGAATTCTTCTTGAAGCTGCAAATTATTTTGTAGATTGTAGGATTATGCTCAATCTCTAAGCAACCTCGCATTATAGCTTCTTTGGATATATAAAGTTCATTAGTGATATCTTATTGTGCAATAATTTAAAAAATTCTTACTCTATATTTGTGTATATATTTATCTTTATTAAAGTTCACTATTATTTCTTTGTCTATTCAAAAACCTATTGTAATGAGGTTCTTTAAAATGCTCAGAGAATATAAAACATAAGTAATCCTTTATATTTCTCCACTTGCTATGTGGATTGCAACATTGCTAAATTTTGTTACATTGTATACTTGGCCACTTTTTAAGGTGTTTCTACTATTTTTATTAGATATTGACAATGATATTGCATATAATTTTTTGGTAATATAATATATATGCTCAAAAATCTATGTACCAAAATAGTGATTGAATTTGTGTATTAACATTGTTTAACTTTGATGGATATGTATCTATGATTTGTGAAGAATATCTTTTCTCTTCATATCTTTTTTTTCATGAATTGATCTTGGATAAAGAGAGTATTTTTCAATTGACTTGTTTTGATATTATGTACTTGAGTCCTTAGACTTCTCTTACAATGTTCTTTCTTGTGTAGTTTGTGCTTGAAGTCTTTCATTTTGATGATGAATGTCTTGATTTTGTTTTCAAATGACTTTATTATTTTAAAATATTCTATTTAAAGTCTTTGTTGTAACTTCTAATGGCAATCAAATGTATCATCAAAGTGATGTG